TTCCTAGATTGGATATTACTTATTTTTATTAAGACTATGTGAAATTCAAAAGAAGCATGAGGCCTACTCATACGATTGAGGGAAAATTCAACTAACACTTCTACACCAACTTGACCAGCTGTCATATGATATTCGCAACACTACATGGAAAATGCAACTATTTGCTCTCAACTTACCTTCTGGGAGATAGGCCGAATAAGTTACTATTCAAGAATTCTTGATATTCTCTAAATCTACTTACATCGAAATGATTATTTGGCGTTTATAGCATCTCGGCTTGTCTGACAAATACCTGTCTCTTGTAAATTCCCTTGACCAGTAAGCACCCAATAAAAGACTTTCTTGTACGTTTGTAAAGCATGTCCAGCTATTTGTGACATAGCAACAAGACAGAAAGCAACAAGCAGATACCACTCAGGTTGTCTAAAGTGAGGTCAATTCATCTGGCCAGGTCACATTTTCATTATTTTCTGAAGTTAGCCAGTCTCCCCTAACCCTCCGTCGGTTCAGCTTTCCTTTATGCCTAAATGCCTGTTGAGCATGAACATATTTTAGCATCACTTTTGTCATTTTGCCTGCTTGCCCGTGGGAGTGTGCATGAGTCCTGGTGACTGTGCCGTATTTGCCTGGGGCTGTATTTGATGAATTCTGCCGGATCGTGACCTCGTACCGTAATTTAGCAGATAAAATGAAGAAGCTTACGTCCATCGCCAAGCCAAGTGGTTTTTGTCGTCCCAGCAGCCTTAGTCTCACGGCCTGTTGGTCGTCTCTTCATCTCCAAACTCCCGCCTCTTCGCCATGCCGCTGGGGGCAAGTTATACTCCTCTCTGGCGGCGTTCACTTCTGTCATGGATGGATGGATGGACGGAATTTAATCATCTTTTACCGGCCGCGTTAGTTGTTGCTGTGCCGGGCTACGGCCAATGGGAAAGTCGGGAACAATGGTTGGGCAAACCCGTGGCATCCATCTCTGTTGCTTGTAGTCCATCTTCAACTTCGGTCAGGGGTGATGCTGAATGCTAAAGCAGCAAAAGCGAGTCACTTTGGCGACGAAAGTCTTGTACTTTTTCCATTGCCATTCCTTTGCTGCCTCCCCTTTTCATCACTATCCAACTCCCCTTGCCTCCGCACCAGCTGGTGGCGTCTTTAGGATCCGGTAGGAACAAAAGCCGAAACTTAATCATCTTCTCTCCGAAGACCCATGCTTGACCCCAACCCTACCGATACGTATAGTCGCTTCTCGGCGAGAACAAATGCACTGAGTCCAAAACACTGGCCTCATTAATCGGGCCTTTCACAAGATCAGACTGTTGCATCTTCTCGTGAATGCTTTACTGTCTCGTCAGCCCCCAAACGGTTGGTGCCGTTCGTTGGTTTTCGATGCTTAAACCTGATTATGTAGCAAGTGGGGGGAGATCAGTTGTGATATGATTTTCGTTTTTAAGTAGGCTTCAAGACCACCAGTAGATGGTATATACCAAATGTTGCATTTAAAGTGATTAAGGATTGTTATTGGAATTTTTCCCATAATGAAATGAGTAAGCCTTACGTTGTCATTGCATTTGACATAGCCTTGCTTCTACGTCTCATCAGCACCCCCAGCGGAACTTGAACTCGGATTGTGGTATCCCAGTGCATAATTCCAACACGCCAAGCACTACTTCACACTACCGCAAGCACTCTTAGGTCACAGAATAGGTGTAAATTTCAACAAAAGACTAAAAATGTTCTAATATCACATTGATATATCAAAATTGTATTTGTTATAGTAATCGACTATATTATTGTAAACGTACACTAAAGCGGAATAGCCTTGGAGTAAGGATATCCTGAATAGAAGAAAAGGGTGTGGGAAATTTTTTCCCTATTTCCAAACTTTAGGAATCTTGCTCTGATTATGTCTGTCACGGCGGTGCAGGCAAAAGCTTAACACAAATTGATCGGGTTCGCAGGACTTCGTGGCACAATCCAAAAGTCTTCACTCATCTGCAATCCTCAAGACCATTTCACAAATTCCTTCCAACCAACTTTTCCTTCGAAATGGAAAGCCAAGGCATTCTTTAAAACCCAGTTTTTCTCATATCTTCAGCGTAGGAAATTGGCTGTAGAAAAGGCTCAAGGATACCGAGAGAGGGAGGGGAAAAAACCGCTGAGCAGTAGGAGAAGGATAGAATAGCCTAAAGTCTGATGAGAACAATCATACTTCACATTACTCGAGTAGTGCATACCTAAACATGCGTCAACATTATAGGATCGTGAGCTAGTTTATATATTTTTTCGCATTTAAGTATTGTATCAAGTCTACCAGTAAATCAGTAATATGAGATGTATTCACACAATTTCGTCTACTGTGATGAAGGACTGGTAGAAGAATTTCCCCACAATGATATGAGTAGAGCTGACGTTTCCTTTGTAGTTCACATAGTCTTGCTTTCCCAAAAGGTGTTCTCATCCAGGGTGGACTGCAGTTTCGACCTGGATGATAATAACTTTTGGGAAAGCAAGGCTATGTGAAATTCAATGGAAATGTCAGATCAACTCATATCATTGTGGGAAAATTCTTCTTCTACCAGTCCCTTATTCCCTTGAACGAAATAGGGTGAATACATCTCATATCAGTTTATTTATGTCAGGAAAAAGCTGATCGCATCCACTTCCTGTTCATGAATTAACTTCAGCCATCTCAAGTATGTAGGATGTAGGAGAGAGTAGGCTTACAGAAGGCCAACTGTTCTCTAGATCTGGTATATTGATGTTGTTTTTTCATAGAGTATGGTTTTTTGGAGGAACAGACAAAAGGTCTATACGAATGAATTGAGGTCGCAGGTCTTTTTAGCACAATCCAATAATCTCCATTTCTCCAAAGTAATCCTTCCTCGGTTTTTGGGTATACTAATCCACACATTCTTAGTAACCGTCTTTTTCTTCGAAATGAGAAGTCATGCCACAATAAATTAATAAGGAACTATTTGAAACCCAGTTTTTCTTCAAATATACGTGGGTCCGTTTGTCCATCATGGCCCGATGGCCATACTACTCTTAAATTTACGGAAAACTTTGAGTTCGCCGTCAGTTTCATCCTCGCCTGAGTCCTACTAGTGAACGGACACATTTGGAAAGGAGCAATTCATATCCAGAAATAATATATTATAACTACTGTAATTTGCTTTGACGAGAAAATAGAGCCAGGGATGGAATGATAGCCATAGAAAATATCGGACATTTAATTCCATTGCTCTCAGACCAGGCGAATGGCTGACAGTTTCTATGGCGCCGCCATTGAGCTTCATGTTCAGTATAGCAAGTTTTCGAGGCTATCCCCAGTTAATGAATAACAACGTTGTAATATAGGAGTTTAAAGTCGCTTCGTGACCTTGTCGTATTTTTAGAGACTTGGCACCAAGTCCATGGTTCGACGCTGGATAATATCATTTATACTTTGTCAGAGGACTCCGTGTGATATTTTTTCCTCTAGGTCGTTCTTACAATACAATCATGTTGTGAAAACGATGTTATCCCACTAATATACGACAAAAGAAAACTGCGACTCTACTATAGGCCACCCAAGCTTGATCTTCACACCTTCATTTAACTTAGTAACCCTAGGTCGTTTATGGTTATTAAGAGACTTTTAGGTGGGTTTTACTTCATATATGCGAAAAAAAGTTGGGTTTCGAGGAATCGCTTGTTTCATAATTGTTGAGATTACTTCCATTTCGAGTAAAAGTATCGGGTGAAGAGATTCGAAGGTCGGTTCCACCAGAAGACGATGGCGGATTCCTCTTGACCAGCTGTCGATTGATTTACTGGAGCATTCGTGCTGACGCTGTTTCCGAGGTGATCTCCTTCGATTCCGCTGAAAAGGTGCTAAGCTTTTGTCCGTCATGTGATGAACATCATTAGAACTAGGTATCATCGTCACAACGAAATTCAAGCTGACGAGTCAAGAAAACTCACCGGCAAATACCTAAAAAGTGGTATATCTACTCTACATCTGGCATCTTTGATAAAGCATAAAGTGATTTGGTTAATTAACCTCATATGTCAACTTCTATGCATGTGAGTGTGTCTGCCTCTGTGTTTGTATGTGCCTGTTTGTGTTCGCTTATGCACGAAACCCGAAGTGATTGTTCAAAGTAGTTGAGACAGCAAAAAGGAACGTCTGTTTTTGGCCATCAAGATTTGATGAGCCCGGAATCGAAGGAGATTGCCTCGGAAACAGCGTCAGCGTGAATCTTCCAGTAAAGCCAATCGACAGCTGGTCAAGAGGAATCCGCCGTCGTCTTCTGGTGAAACCGATCTCAGAATCTTTTCACTCAACACTTTCACTCAAAATGGAAGTAAGCCCAACAGTTTTACTTCAGTCAGATGAGTAGGCCTAAGAATGTCATTGAATTTCACTTATCATTGCCTTCCCAAAGGCAATCTCATCTCGGCTGGAATGGAATGTAGATCTGACCTGGTCTAATTTTCATCACTATTCTCGACGTGACCAGTTCACAAGACAGTCATGTGTGAAAATGTGACATCCAAAGCTATTTAAACCTTGCCCAAATCATATTTATAGTGGGATTTTAGAATAAGTAAACGTGCCTTTGTTACTATATTCGAGATAAATGTTTTTTGAGGCTATCCACAACTCTCCAATAATAATCACTACTTACACTGAAAATAAGTTACTTCGTCGAGTTAATTAGCAAAATGTTGCTGACTAAAAATGTGATTTGGCTAGGGCCAGACTTTGCTCGCATTGAATGTCTCACTTGTCATGCGGCCCACTGGCAAACTTGGCTGAGGTGTGGAGTCGTAACGTCGACACGACACTCATCACCCGTTAACCAAACCTGTACATTGCATTACAGCCCGGATGATAAAATCTGTGGTGAGGCAAAGCTAAGGGAACTGCAATGGTACCGTGATACTTAACTATCAGTCCTTATATCAACGCAAACGACCACATGTCTTCCAATGCCTGATAGATATGAATGAAAATTGGGTTGCATGCACACAGCAGATAATAGCACAAACTTAGGCATGAGACAACATTAGAGGATTGTATGTTAGTTTATTTATGTAAGGCCACAGCCGCTACCGAATCCACTTCCGGTTTATGAATTAACTTCACTCGTTGGTATGAAGACCAAGATGATGTGGCCTTTTGTGTGGTAGCAGTCTCCTTTCGTTGTATAGAGGTTGTTTGACCTTGTTTTCGCAACATG